ATGTGTGTGTGTGTGTGTGTGTGAATCAGATAGCTAAGAATGGGAAGAAGAGCAGAAGTATGAAGGGATAAATGAGAAGTAGACAAAGCCGGAAGAAATCCGTGCACCTTCTCTGTCTCCACCCTCTTCTTCTGTCCTGTGTCGGCTCACCCCTTCTTTTTCTTCCTGTGATGCTGGGCGCTGTCGTGCTGATTGCACACCTCATCTTCCTCATCCTCCACTCGCCCCCGCTGGTGCCTCAACTCCTCCTCACTCCCCCATCCTCCTCTATCCAGATCCCGAGAGCTCCACTGTGATGGTGATCTCTCTACTGTATGCCCCCTTCCCTATATAGAACCCCTGCCTCCTCCGAACCCGCTCCTCCCCAATCTCATCCCACCCATAGCAATCTTCCATCTCCTACATCCCTCCTCCTGCACCTCCAGGCCCAATCGACCTCATCCCCTCCTCCTTTCTCCAACCCCCTTCTCTCAAATCACCATGACTCCCTATCCTGTTTTTCCTCCACATCTCCTCGCGATCCAATGTCCCTGGACATCCTCTTCCCCCAGACTTCCGCGATCCCACCATCGCTTTCCCATCCTGTGTTCGCTCCCACGCCCGGTCCTCAGCGATGTGATCTCCCTCTCCTCTGACTCCTTCCCCCCGCCGTTGGTATCCTCATCTTCACCTGGACCCTACAACCCTGATTGTCATGGCAGAGGATTTAGGACGATCGTTTCCCATCCCATTCTCCTTCACATATCTCCTCGTGATCCCATCGCCATCCACATCCCCTCCTCCAGGATTCCGCAATTTTTCCCTTTCATTGTCTTTATGGCATCTTCCCATCCCTCTCGCCTGATCACCCTCTATTTTCCGTTCCTCTGATATCAATCATTATATTCCCTTTTCCTTGCTACACGTTCAGACAAGAAGAACAAAATGATATTGATCAGTGTCTCGGAAGCCATCCCATCTTTTTGATGGTTCCTCCTTCCCCACTCGTGTTCAATCTCTCGCTATACTTATCGTCATCCCTTGATCTCAGACGCCTGGATGCCATCTCTCCGATCACGTATCACGATCCCCTTTTCGCATCCCGTTTAGTGTCCTATGCCGATACCATGTCAGCATAGTATGTCGTTGATGATTGCATGTGTTGGTATGAAGAATGGAGAAGACCCCTCCTCCCTCCCCTTCCCTCCCTCCCTCCTCCTCGCTCTTCTCCCTCCCTCCTCCTCCTCCTCCCTCTTCTCCCTCCCTCCTCCTCCTCTTTCTTCTCCCTCCCTCAGATCCTTTCAACCACTTTTGCTCCCTGCTTTTCTGTCCTCCATACCATGCCAGGATGCTTCACGCCTGCCAAGCAGCAACTGATTACCAATGTCAATGCACAGGTGGTCACTCACCCAAGCGCCCTGAGCTTCCCATTGATCGTGCCATTGACCACCAAGAGAGAAAAAGAGACCAAAGAGAAAAGAAAGCAAGGGGCTGAAGAAAAGGAGAGAGAGAGAAACAGAGAGGAAGAAGAGCAAGGAAGCAAAGGAGTGTTTGACGTCATCGCCACAGCGCTTTCTCCTTGGAGCTCGTACAGGTTATTTTACACACCGTAAACAAGCACACATGCTGCAGGTTGCAGGCACTGAGTAATGTTCGGACCATGTGCACAGGTTGCACACACAGAAACGATCAGACTACATCTGCCAGTCGCACGTGCAGCTTGCCCAATCCAACCAAAATCCAATCCGACCACAGTCCCACA